TGGTGAAAAAAGCAATTAAATGGCTCAACATGACAGATTACAAACCATAATTTCTTACAGGACTTACATATATTAGGTTTCATACCCTTTGAAGTCTTTTCTTGGTTTGCAAATAATTCTCTGAGACTAATCAATATAGGCTAGAAACCATCTGACCACCTTGTATGGGATTAAATTTCAGGAATTTATTTAGAAATGCACAAGATTTAGAAAAAGAAGATCCTCTCTTCTCCCAATGTTCTGACCACCTGGGTATTACACTCAAATGCAGAAAAACAAAAACATTTATGTAGACATTTATTTAGATCATCATAGTGTCTAAAAATCAAACTCATAGCCCAGCCAATGGGGCTCAGTGGTTGAGCATCGACCTATGGACCAGGAGGTCACAGTTTGATTCCTGGTCAGGGTACATGCCAGGGTTGCAGACTCAATCCCCAGTGTGGGGCATGCAGGAGGCAGCCGATCAATGATTCTCTCTCATCAATGATTTGTGTGTATGTATATGTGTGTGTGTGTGTGTGTGTGTGTGTGTGTGTATCCCTCTCCCTTCCTCTCTGAAGTCAATAAAAATATATAAAAATTAAAAAATAAAAATCAAACTCACAGAGGATATTAGAAGAACTTTTAACACAGGATCATTGGTTGGGCTCAGGAAGACCTCTGAAAAAGTAAATTTAAATAAATATATACATACATCCACACACAAATAATTTCCCATCCTGGAGAAAAATACATAGCTTTCATCAGAAATAGTTCTTGACAGCCCTGCCATGTGGCTCAGTTGGTTGGAGAATCATCCCAATGCACCAGGGTTGCGGGTTATATGCCCGATAAGGGGAATCAACCAGTGAATGTATACAAGTGGAACAACAAATCAATGTCTCTCTCACCTTCTCTTCCTTCTCTCTCTCTAAAATAATAAAAAATATTTTTTTAAAGAAATAATTCTTGACAACTAAACTATAGAAAAATGATCATTCACAACTGCCTGAAATTTGGCTGAATAGAAGTCTTACAATTACGGATTTAAAGAAGAAGCCACATGAGACTGGTAGGGAGGGCAAAGATGTGGAACAGACTGGTCCCACACCCACATGTGGTGATTAAAAATTGGGAGGAATATCTCATTTCCAAAGGTTGCCTCCTGAATTGTAAGGGGTCCCAGCCCCACACCAGGCCCCCAGTTCAGGGTTCCAATGCCAGGAAAAGAAGTCCCCATATCTTCTAGCTATGAAAACCAGCATGGACTGCAGCTGAGGGAGACAGAGGTTACTGGAGTCCCAGGAAGTTCCTCTTAAAGGGCCTGTGCACAGACTTACTAGGACACCCTCCTTCTGAGTTTTAGTACTGGGGCAGCAGCTTGAAAGGCACCAGAGACACACAGGGAGGAACTGAATTGTCTGGCATGAGAGCAAGAGCTGGAGGGGCAGCTTTCTCCTAGACGGAAGTGCGAACAGGGGCCATTGTTCCTTTTTGAGAACCCCCCAAAATCTGGCAGGCTGGTTCCATATTACAGGCTGTATCAACCTGGCTCACACTACTCACCCCATCCTGGTAAGTCCCTGAGACCCTGCCCCACCCAACTTGTGGGTCCACCCAAGTTGTTTCCAGTGGCTTTTCCATACGAATGGCCTGTCTTGGCTCATCCTTCAGACTTTCCTAAAATCTCTCAAACAAGCAGCATCTGGCCTTAGTGTGCATCTCTTGCTAAGATACCCCAGGCCCAGCAGTAGCAGCAGCCAGTCTTGGCTCACAACCTGGACTCAGCCAGGCACCTCCAAATCCAGAACAAGTAGCAGCCATTTACAGATTGCTTTATAGCTCATGCCAGCTGGCCCTGGGCAGAACACAGGTACTGGCTGACCTTGGCCTGCACCTCCTGGGAGGCCACAGAGCCAGTGCATCCAGTGGACAACTTCATACCACAATGAAGCATCACCCAACCCCAACCACCTCCACAAACAACACACTCAAATGGTAGACTCAGTGGGCACCAAAGCCACTACAATAAGTCCTGTTCTATGGGGTGGGCTGATTCTCCACAGTGATCCTCCACTGTGGTCCAACATAGGAGGTCAGTGAATGCAGCCAATCCTTGCAGCTGATCAGCTCAGGGGTAAATGCCTCTCACTGAAATGCCAACAGCAATCTAGGCCCACATGAAGAACACACCTTGAGAGCCCAGGGCCGGGGAGGGGGACTAGCCTGTGTCACTGGGCCATACAGAATATCGATATTAAGCCACTCTACCAAGTCCAGGAGATATTGCAGCTCTACCTAATACATAGAAACAAACACAGGGAGGCTTCCAAAGAGAAGAAACAAAAAACATGTCCCAATGAAAGAACAGAACACAACTCCAGAAAAAAAAAAACAACACTAAAAAAAACAGAGACAAGCAATTTACTACATGCAGAGTTCAAAACACTGGTTATAAGTATGTTCAATGAACTTAGTGAAAACTTCAACAGCACAAAAAGGGCGAGACAAAAATGAAGCATATACTAAAATGAAGAATAATTTACAGGGAATCAACAGGTCAATAAATGAAGCCATGAATCAAATCAGTGATTTGGAATATAAGCAAAAAACACCTAATCAGAACAGTAAAAGGAAAAAAAGAACAAACAAAAATGAAGATATTTTAAGAGCTTCTGAGACAACTTCAAGTATATCAACATTTACATCATGGTGTGCCAGAAGGAGAAGAGAGCAAGAAATTCAAAACCTATCTGTAAAAATACTGAAAGAAAACTTCCCTAACTTGGTGAAAGAAACAGGCATACAAGACCAGGAAGCACAGAGAGTAACAAACAAGATGAACCCAAAGAAGCCCACACCAAGACACATCATAATGAATCTGCCAAAGAATAAAGACAAAGAATCTTAAGAGCAGGAAGAGAAAAGAAGTTAGTTACCTATAGGGAGTTCCCATAAGACTGTCAGCTGATTTCAACAGAAACCTTGCAGGCCAGAAGGGAGTGGCTAGAAATACTCCAAGTGATGAAAAACAAGATCCTAAAACCAAGATCACTCTAGCCTACAAAACTATCATTTAGAATCTATGGACATATAAAGAGCTTCCTGGACAAGAAAAAGGTAAAGGAGTTCATCACCACACAACCAGATTATATGAGAAGGGAGGGGAGGGGAGGGGAGGGGAGGGGAGGGGAAGGGAGGGGAGGGGAGGGGAAGAGAGAAAGGGATGAAGAGGAGGAAAGGGAAGAAGGAAGAAGAAATTAAGATAAAAAATGTGAACAATTAAAATGGCAATAAATACATATCTATCCACAATTGAATCTAAAGTAAGCAAATAGAATGGGAACAGATTCATTGATACACAGAATATATATACTAGAGGCCCGGTGCACAAAATTCATGCACAGGTAGGGTCCCTCGGCCTGGCCTGCGATCAGGGCTGATCTGTGGGGCAACCAGCGGGGAGATAGGGGGTGCCCACTGGCACCCGCCTTGGCTGGCCTGGTGCCACCCACTTGCTGGTCCCATCCCCCTGCACTGCCGGTTGCCTCCCTCTGTGGGGCAACTGGCAGGTTGATCAGCCCCTCCCCCCCCCCTCCCCGCTGGCACCTGCCTTGGCTAGCCTGGGGCCTGCGAGCTGGAGAAAGCTCCTACATTGAGTGTCTGCCCCCTGGTGGTCAGTGCACATCATAGAGACCAGTCATTCTGCCGGTCCTTCAGCCATTCGGTCGATTTGCATATTAGGCTTTTATTATATAGGATTAGGGGCCTGGTGCACGAAGATTTGTGTACGGGGGGAGGGGGGGAGGGGTCCCTCAGCCCGACCTGCACCCTCTCCAATCTGGGAACCCTCAGGGGAGCCCTCTCCAATCCGGGAGTTTCTGTCTGTCTTTGCAATCATATGAGCGAATTGTCTGAGACCCCCAACTCAGTTTGATTTGTTGCTCACAGAATAATAGAGGCATTTTTTTTCTTTGCTTCATTGGTGGAGATTTCCTGGAAGTTTTAGGATATCTTCCCTTTCATTTTTCCTAGACACTCTGATTTTACTTGTCTCTCATCTTTGCTTTCCCTCCATCCCCCACCGCAACAGTAACTTGCTCCAGGCTCACTTTGCTCTAGTGTCTAGGAGATCCGTTTGCCACCAGAACTACGATTCCCAGCATTCCTGGTGCTCCCCGCGCTCTGGGCTTCCGCTTCTGGTCCTGGGGCTGACATCAGAACTACTATCCCCAGAATTCCTGGTTCTCCCCGCCCTGGGAGCGACCGAGGAAGCCACGGCCCCCCAAGCTGCCGGCTCTCCCACTTCTTCTCTCCACTCAGCAGCTGTGTATGCAAATTAACCCACCATCTTTGTCGGGTTAATTTGCATATTCACTGACTGGCTGGTGAGCATAGCAAAGGGACAGTCAATTTACATGTTTCTCTTTTATTATATAGGAGATATATAATCCTCACCCAAGGATATTTTTTCCACCGATTTCCAGAGAGAGTGGGAAGGAGGAGAGGAGGGGGAGAGAGAGAAAGAGAAACACTGATGTGAGAGAGATACATCAATTGCTTGCCTACCGCACACACCCCTACAGGGGCTGGGGAACCTACAACCAAATTACGTATGCTTGACCCGGAATCGAACCCATGATGCTACTATCTGCAGGTTGACACTCTAACCACTGAGTAAAACCAGCCAGTGCTACAGAGAATACTTTGATGGTTGCTAGATGAGAGGGAAGTTAGGGGGACTGGGTAAAAAGGTGAAGAGATTAAGAAGTACAAATTGGTTGTTACAGACTAGTCATGGGAATGTAAAGTATAGCATAAGGAATATAGATAATAATATTCTAATAACTTTGTATTATCTATTGGGATGTAACATTTATTAGGATGATCACTTAGTAAATTATATAATGCCTAATTACTGTGATGTAAATATGAAACATATAATAATGTACATGTAATTAAAACATTAAAATTTATTTAAAATAAAATAAAAGCAGTAGTTCTTAAGTCTACCAGACCTGAGGCCCTGAACCTTCGCTTTCCTGTTGAAGTGCTTGGTTCATCAGCCGCTCGTTTCATTGTGAATTTTCAGAATTTTTTCACGTCAAATCACACAAAGTCAATTCAAACACATGGGGGCAGCCATTTGCAATGGCTAACCATGAGGTTTGACCACGATTGGTTGGTTTTTAGTTTGTGACGCATTTTTTTCACATACTAGGCAAAGTACCGAAAATTAGGTACAGCGGTATAGCGGCAGATTCGGAAATTACCAAAAAATCGGTACAGCGGTCTGGTAGGGTTAATGACAAAAGAAAAAAAAGTTTAGAAAACACTGTATCCAAATTTTAGAGTAAAAATTTACTATGTCGTGTAAAGGTTCTTGTCTTGACAGTGCCTTACATTTTTCATACTACAGAATTAATTACTCGGTTGAGATAAATCCTATGTAATAAAAGCCTAGGTGGCGCCATGTGACATCATCACAAGATGGCCACCCCCACATCATCACAAGATGGTCACCAAAAGATGGCCGACAGGGAGGGCAGTTGTGGGCAATCAGGCCAGCAGGGGAGGGCAGTCAGGGGCGACTAGGCCAGCAGGGGAGGGCAGTTGGGTCGACCAGGCCTGCAGGGGAGGGCAGTTAAGGACAACCAGGCCAGCAGGGGAGGGCAGTTGGGGGCAACCGGGCCTGCAGGGGAGGGCAGTTGGGGGCGATCGGGCCGTCAGGGGAGCAGTTAGGCATTAATCAGTCCTGCAGGGGAACGGTTAGGGGGCGATCAGGTAGGCAGGCAGGCGAGCAGTTAGGAGCCAGCAGTTCCGGATTGTGAGAGGGATGTCTGACTGGGATCGGGCCTCATCTGTCAGTCAGACATAACCCAAGGGGTCCCAGATTGGAGAGGGTGCAGGCTGGGCTGAGGGACATACTCCCACTCCGTGCAAGAATTTCGTGTACCGGGCCTCTAATGTATATGTGTATGTGTGTGTGTGTGTGTGTGTGTGTGTGTGTGTGTGTGTGTATGATACTGACCTTCTAAAATCAATCGTAAAGATATAAGCATTTTCCTAAATGTAAAACAAAAATCATACATACCTTTTTTCCAAATCTCTTATTTTCTCTCTAAGTGGTTCAACAATCTAAAATAAAAATAACCAGTATCAGCAAAAACAGGGCTTTACCACTTTCACCTTGCTCTGATGTTCCAGATAGGTATGACATAATGCAAAACAGATTTTAAATTCCTCCTACAATGCACTTCCAGTTTGAAATTAAGTTATACCACTTCAATCACAATTCCAGAATCAAGATAATAAATTGCACATTGGAACCCTTACTCCACAGATGCATAAGTCTCTGAGGAAATTAACCTTTTTACTTTCCTACCTTACTATGAACAATATTAAAGGTGGTTCAGGCTCATAAAAATAGGCAGTTCAATACTACTGGTTTTTTTCAGGAACTAAAAATCCCCTAGTTGCTGCCCACAAAAGCGTATCATCTTGCTTCTGCATGTTATCTCTAGGGAACCAGCTCTAACACAGAAATCACAGGCCATAAGTCAATCCCTATCTGTGTTAACACCTTGAGCATGAACAGAACAACAAGGCAACCCAAGGACTTCCCCAGGAATTCAGCATCTGGCTTAAAATGAAAACGAGGAACTCCTCATCCCTTCCCAGGCCCATGTTACAATAGTATATTCATATCTACATTTATTTGACTAAAACATAAGCAATTACTTAAAAATATAAGGTACATTATCAACTAAAGGAACTAGCTTTCAGTGAGGGAGGTCTGTGACTTCTCTGTCTGTACCTACGGACACTCTTTATGTTCCCAGAGTCCTAGCATCTCAGGCAGACCTTTTTCCTTTCAGCATCTGCTCAGGTGAGTGGATGCTGGCACTGGCCTCCATCCCTCACACAGGTAATCACTTCCCTTTCTCTAAGAATTTCTGGAAAGGCGCACCAAAAAGTCACATAAAAGTTTAAACTCATTTTGCCTTTAAGATAGAATGTGTTTTAATAGAGCATGCCTTTATAAAATGGACAAAAACTGACACAAAGATATATCTTCAGCATAACAATATTAAGTCTCCTATTAAATAAGGGATTTTTTTTTTTTTTAAATCCTCACTCAAGGACATGCTTAGAAAGGGTGGGGGGCAGCAGGGAGAGAGAAACACCCATCTGAGAGAGAAACTTTCAGTTGCTTTCTGTACGTGCCCCAACTGAGGATCGAACCCACAACCCAGGTATGTACCCTGAGACTAGAAATCGAACCAGCAACCTTTCAGTGCACAGATGACACTCAACCAACTGAGCCACTCTAGCTGGGCAGGGATCATATTTTGATAAATGGTCTCAAAATCATAGATCAGCATCAAGTTGTGACAATAAAGATACTAGCACAAGCAAAAGAACTGAAGTAGATAAATATATAGAAAAAAACAGAAGCAAAATATGGAAGAGACTACTAACCTCTTCAATCTTCCGTTCAAGTTTCATTTCACCATTTTCCTGGATAGACCTGTTGAGTAGAAAGCTACAAAACTGAGATCAATTGAAAGGCTTTATGACTTCAAGAGTTATTTCTGAACAAATGTCCACAACACAAACCAAAGTCTGAGACCACCTCTCTCTCCTTTCCAAACATCAGTCATACTAGAGGCCTGGTGCATGAATTCATGCACGGGTGGAGTCCCTCGGGCAGGCCAGGGGAAGGGGCCACGGGAGGTTGGCTGTCCAGGGGGAGGGACCCTGGGAGGTTTGCCAGCCGGCAGGGGGGAGGGACCGCGGGAGGTTGGCTGGCCATGGGAGACTGACTGTGGTAGCGCACTGACTACCAGGGGACATCTCCAGCGTTGAGCATCTGCCCCCTGGTGATCAGTGCGCATCATAGCAACCAGTCAACCGGTTGTTTGGTCGCTTAGGCTTTTATATATATACTAGAGGCCCGGTGCACAAAAATCTGTGCACTCGAGGGGTTCCCTCAGCCCAGCCTGTGCCCTCTCGCAGTCTGGGACCCCTGGGGGATGACCACCTGCTGGCTTAGGCCCGCACCCTGGGGGATTGGGCCTAAACTGGCAGTCAGACATGCCTCTGGCAGCCCAGGAGCCCTCGAGGGATGTCTGCTTGCCAGCAGGGAGCAGGCCTAAGCTGCAGTCGGACATCCTTAGCGCTGCTGAGGAGGCGGGAGAGGCTCCCACCACCACCGCTGTACTGGCAGCCATCAGCCTGGCTTGTGGCTGAGCAGAGCTCCCCCTGTGGGAGCGCATTGATCACCAGGGGGCAGCTCCTGCATTGAGCATCTGCCCCCTGGTGGTCAGTGTGTGTCATAGTGACCAGTCATTCCCAGTTGTTCTGCTGTTAGGGTCAATTTGCACATTACCCTTTTAATATATAGAATAGAAGCCTGGTGCACGGGTGGGGGCCTGCTGGTTTGCCCTGAAGGGTGTCCCAGATCAGGATGGGGGTCCCGCTGGGGTGCCTGGCCAGCCTGGGTGAGGGGCTGATGGCTGTTTGCAGGCTGGTCAAGCCTCCTGCTCGCTCCAGCTCCGTGGCCATGGCCGCATGAAAGCAGGTATCTGGGGTTTATTTATCTTCTATAATTGAAACTTTGTAGCTTTGAGTGGAGCTCAGAGCCGGCTGCAGCAGGTGGGAAGCTTGGCTTCCTCCATTACTGGAGCAACCAAGCCTCCTGCTCGCTCCAGCTCGGTGGCTGCCGGCCACCATCTTGGTTGGGTTAATTTTCATATAGTCGCTCTGATTGGATGGTGGCCGTGGCTTAAGCTGTAGTGAAGGTACGGTCAATTTGCATGTTTGTCTTTTATTAGTGTAGATAGAAAATGAGCCAATTCCCTCCTGAAGGGGGTGCAGTAGAGAAAAATAAGTCAACCAGGGAGAGGAAACCTAAATCCATCTCACACATTCACTACTGCCTTAGCATTGTTTCTATGAAATAAAATAATCTCACTTTCACATTATACCCAACAAGGGATTTTAAAGCAGAAGGTGTGTCTCTACAGGAGTACAAGCCTGACTGTTGGGCTTCCTGGGGATTTAATACCAAATGGAGTTTTTCCAAGGAAATAAACAGAACTCCTTTAAATGGGGGCAGAACACCCCACCTAGCCACACACAGAAGCCTTTGTCAGGAAACACACAAGCCCTGGTGGCAGGAATTAGCTCAACAAGGCCCCGCCTTGAAAACCAACCCAATACGAAAAGCCTGGTGGGGCATAGCAGTATTAAACTTCCAGATCCAGTTCAATCACTACATCATGATTGCTTTCTTAATTTAGTTCTACTACCAAGAAAAACAATGTGGAGCATTTTTTTTTTAAATAAAACTATACTAACTGCACCAAATTTGTTTTTACAATGAACACTTATTACATTTTGATGACTTTTTAAAAATTGACACAAGGATTTCACTTTTATAAGTGTCCTTCCTGCCTTAGTTAGCAATACAAATAATGCACAGTGAGGCCAGAAGGTTCCTGGGGAAGGACAGGTGGTCTCAGCATCCACATGGCCTGATCCTTGGGGCCAGGGACCAGCTGCATTCCTCGAGAAGATCCACAGAAGACAAGATACAGCCCAGATGTGCGAATAGAAAAATACTCGGCTTCATTTTTAAAATTAAATCCAATTAAGCCATGATATCAATGGTATATATGTAACAACTGAAATGTGTCTACAAAACCCAAATTATTAAAATCAATTACCTCATATTAACGTAGTTGCCCCAAACAGCTGTAAGAGAAAGAAGAAAAAGACAATATTTAAGTTCATGACATTCATGAATATCAATAAGTACAATTTTAATTTTTAACCAATGTTTTAAAGTTCAGTAAGTAAACCAAATTATAGATCATGATGACATTATAATGCACACTTTTAAAATATTAAGTCCAACTAAAAAGTAAGTGAAGCCCTAACTCATTTAGCTGAGTGGATAGAGCATCAGCCTGTGGACTGAAGGGTCCCCGGTTTGATTCCGGTCAAGGGCACATGACTGGGTTGCGGGCTCGATCCTCAGTGGGGGACGAACAGAAGGCAGCCAATCAATGATTCTCTCTCATCATTGATGTTTCTATCTCTCTCCCTCTCCCTTCCTCTCTGAAATCAATAAAAATATATATTTTTTAAAAAGTAAGTGAAAACATGATCCCATATATCCCTCTAATTTTGGGATATCTCATTTGGGGTTCGGCATTCAATAGCGCCGAGCCAGTCACAAGGATCAAGGACCACATGCCTGAAAAACACAGTGGCTTCAGCCCAAACACTTCCTTTAAGTGTTGATGAGAACAAAATCCAGAGAAGTAATGGCCTGATGTTGTGCCTTAATTTCAACTAGAGCGGCGGTTCTCAACCTGTGGGTCGCGACCCCTTTGGGGGTCGGACGACCCTTTTACAGGGGTCGCTTAAGACCATCCGAAAACACATATATAATTACATATTGTTTTTGTGATTAATCACTATGCTTTAATTATGTTCAATTTGTAACAATGAAATTGGGGGTCACCACAACATGAGGAACTGTATTAAAGGGTCGCGGCATTAGGAAGGTTGAGAACCATTGAACTAGAGTCATCCATCCTTTCTCAACAACTATCCCATCTCCCTTAGACTGCAGTGTCTGGGCTACTGGGCTGCCTCCTTGATTAAAGACACCTGTAGAGAGGGTTACCGTGTCTACAGCTGGTGGTCAGCAAATGTGCATAAATCAGTGGGGTACAACAGCAAAATTTCACCATGGATAACTTTGAGAAATAATACTGGACCATGAGCGAGCACTTCAAGTTAGTGAACAGAGGGTTACACCATACAGAAACCTTCACCACGAATGAGTAGTCCTAAGTTATTATACACACTCAGCCCTTATTTGGTCACTCCCTAAATGCTGAACAACTCCCAAGGACCAAGGGCTTGAGAAAGAAGGAGAGCAAATAACAAACATCCTCCCCATTCCACCTTCCCCAACTTGAGAAAGCCTTGAGGTTAGAGCTAATCCTAGGCATCTTCTGATTGCTACTTTCTGGTACCTAGTAGGGTCTTAATTCATGTTTATTGAATAGAACTGTGTCCAAAATCATGCCCCTATTAAGAAACACACACTGTTAACACATTGTGGACCAGTAGTTTTATTGCTAGCTTTACCCAGTGGCCAGATAAGTTTCTATTGAACGAATACAAAAAACGTTTTACATAAATGTTAAAGGCATGCTTTAAATTTAAATACCCATTGCATTTTGAAATTACTTATTACATATTCTTACAAGGTAATATCTTTTTAAAGTATGATACTTTGCAAAACACTGTGTAACATGAAGTGAGAATTCTCGTGATCCGTCTGCAATGTGTTAAGAAGGGACAAGTTGATCCCATCAAATCATATACTTCTTCAAGTAGAGGAGGAAACTATGACAGAAAAGATATTAATAAACTAACTAAATAAAAAGTGGCAAGAGAGCAAGAAATAGAAGAAATTAAAATGAATCGGTACAATATTCACTATTCCTCAAAAAAGCAGACTATTTATATACTGTTTATATCTTTGGACCATGTGATTTTGAGTATTATCCTCAAGCAATGAATATACATACAGGAAAGCTCCCTTCACAAATCATGGCCTTATTTATAATTAAAAAAAAAAAAAGAGGGATAAACCAAAATATTTGACAATTGGGAAGCTGCTATCTAAATTATACCACTATCCAATGAAAACAGAAAGCCATTAAATAGGACCAGAAAACTATATTGTAACATGAGAATACAGTTATGATAGTGTCAGAGGGGAAAATATATGAAGTATGACTTCTGCTATTAAAAAACACATGGAAAAAGAAGTGTGAAAATGCCAAAACACTTGAGTTTAAATAGTGAGGTGAAGAGAGACCTCCTGCGCCATGCCTCCCCGCCCGGGATCCAGGATCCAGTGATTGAGGACCTAGTGCTGTGAGTGCAAGCCAGAGGGACCCCACACTCCTTCCTGCCCAGGTGCCAGGGCCGTACTGAAATTGCAAGCCAGCGGTTCCTAGGGCACAACCCTGCCTCAGGCACCACAGCCCATGCATGCCAGAGGGCTCTGGAACCTCACAGGAAGTTATATACCAGAAGAACTGTGCACACACTCCTGCCGACCCCAAGTATCTGCAGCAGACAACACCCAATTTGAACAGCAATTGGAAAAAAAAATTTAAAAAGCAAGAGGAGTTTAAGGAAGCTTTGGAACAACATGAAACAAAGCAACATCCACATAATGGGGTGCCAGAAGGAGTAGAAGCTGAGCAAGGAATAGAAACCCTGCTTGAAGAAATAATGACACAAAACTTCCCTGACTTGTGGAACAAAAAAGTCATACAAGCACAGAGAGTCCCAAACAAGAGGAACCCCAAAAGACCCACACCAAGACACTTTGTAATTACAATGGAAAACGTTAACAACAAAGAATCTCAAGGGCGGCAAGAGAGACAGAAAGGTACTTACAAGGGCTCCGTCATTAGACTATCGGCTGATTTTTCAACAGAAACACATCCAGCCAGAAGGGAATGGAATGAAGTATACAAAGTAATTAAAAGCAAGGGAACTATTATCCCTTTAGACAAAAAAAGTCTAAGGGAGTTTATTACCACCAAACCAGCAATGCCAGAAATTCTAAAGGGACTGGTGTAAGAAAAAGGAATAGAAAGATAAGGAGAAATACAGACATAAAGAATAAAAATGGCAACAAACAAGTACCTATCCATAATAACCTTAAATGTAAATGGATTAAATGTTCCAATCAAAAGGCATAGGATGGCTGAATAGATAAGAAAACATGACCCATTTATATGCTGTCTGCAAGAGACCCACCTCAGAACAAAGGACTCACACAGACTGAAAGTGAAGGGATGGAAAATTTTTTTCAAGTAAATGGAAATGGAAAGAAAAAAAAAAGCTAGCGTAGCAATACTTATATCTGACAAAATAGACCTCAAAGTGAAGGCCATAACAAGAGATAAGGAAGGCCACTTCATAATACTAAAGGGATTGATACAACAAGAGGATATAAGTCTGGTAAACATATATGCACCCAAAACAGGAGCACCCAAATATACAAAAGAAAACTTCTGGAAGATAATCAAAGGAGAGATGGACAGCAATACAATCATAATAGGGGGCTTTAATACCCCAATGACACAACTTGGTAAATCTTTTAGACAAAGAGTCAACAAAGAAACAGCACTCCTAAATGACTCACTTGATCAGATGGAACTAATTGACATCTTCGGAACATTTCACCTCAAAGGCATGGAATATACATTCTTCTCACATGCACATGGGACATTTTCAAAGATAGGCCACATATAAGGACACAGGCTAAGTCTCTACAAATTCAAGAAGAATGAAATTATATCAAGCATCTTCTCAGATCACAATGGCATAAAATTAGAAATCAACTACAATAAAAACACTCAAAAACAATCAAACACATGGAGGCTAAACAGCATGCTATAAAACAATGAATGGGTTACCAAAGAGACCAAAGAAGAAATAAAAACATACTGGAAACAAATGACAATGAAAACACAACAATCCAAAATCTATAGGACACAGTGAAAGCAGTCCTGAGAGGGAAGTTCATAGCACTATAAGCCTACCTAAAAAAAACCCCACACACAAACACAAGCAAAACTGGTAATAAATTATATAAACCTACAACATAAAGAGTTAGAAAGAGAGCAACAAGAAAAGCCCAGAGTAAGTAGAAGGAATACCAGAGCAGAAATAAACGGCATAGAGACCAAAAAACAAACAAACAAAAACAAAAGACCAACAGAACCAGAGATGGTTCATTAAAAGGATAAACAAGATTGATGAACCTCTAGCCAGGCTCACCAAGAAACAAAGAGAGAGGACCCAAATAAACAAAATCAGAAATGAAAGAGGTGAAGTTAACAACCAACCCCACAGAAATACAAAGGATTATTTAAAAAAAAATACTACAAGCATCTATATTCCAACAAACTGGAGAACCTAGATGAAATAGACATATTTCTAGAAAAATACAATCTTCCAAAACTCAATCAGAAAGAATAAAAAAAAACTAGAACAGGCCAAAAACTACTGATGAAATTGAAGCAGTAATCAAAAAAACTTCCAGCAAACTAAACCCTGGTCCAGACAGCTTCACAGGGGAATTTACCAAATATTCAAAAAAGAACTGACATTTACGCACCTCAGACTATTACAAAAAGTTCAAGAGGAATGAACACTTCCAAGCTCTTTCTATGAAGCCAGCATTACTCTAATCTCAAAACCATATAAGGAGCCTACAAAGAAAGAGAATTATAGACCAGTATCCCTGATGAACATAGATGCTAAAATCCTCACCAAAATATTAGGAAATTGCATACAGCAATATATTAAAAAGATTATACACCATTACCAAGTGGGATTTATTCTGGGGATGCAAAGCTGGTACAATATGCACAAATCAATAAACGTGATACATCACATAAACAAACTGAAAGACAAAAATCACATGATCATATCAATTGATGCAGAAAAGGATTTGACAAAATCCAAAACCCTTTTTTGGTAAAAACTCTCAGCAAAGTGGGAATAGAGGGATCATACTTCAACATAATAAACGCCTTATGTGACAAACCACAACCAACATCATACTCAATGAGCAAAAACTAAAACCATTTTCCCTAAGAACAGGGAAAAAAAACAAGGATGCCCACTTTCATCACTCCTGTTC